AAAAAAAAAAAAAAAAATGGAAGACTGATGTGGAGCATGAGAATTACCCAGACTGATTTCTTATGGCTAGCTGAACTGGAATCAACAATGCGTACTTCCTGTGAATACAGACAGGAAGCTTATGTACATGTGTACTAAAGTTTCTGCAGGTAAAGACAGCCCGAGACGCGGCAAAGATAAAATATGGATAAAGATAATAGATATATTTTTAACTAAAAAATATTATTTATCTCTATATCTTTCTTCTTTTTCTTTCTCTAAACAGTAGAGTCCGGTCTATTTATTCTTCTTGGAGACAAATCTACTTGGCAGTTAAGATATAAACCTGATTATTATCCTTACTTATTGTGAGTTGTTTCTCTACTGCTATACTGCTCCTGTTAACTTCTACTTTCCCTTAGTGCTTAGTGGACTCTGGCTCACAACAGCAGAAGACAGATAAAGTTCCCAGTATGTCTCTTACCTATGATTGGAAGACCAAGGTCCGCCAGCATATCTACCTTGCACAAGAGGCCGTGAGCACGGGAGATTATGCAGTCCTTGATATTATCAACGCACAGGAATATATCAATAATGTTAATCCGATCGCGGCCTGGCACAGCTCTATACTCCCCAGATATCGGAGTGTTGATGTTGAACATAAACTGAGGGATATTAACCTTGACGGGGTGGAGCAATCTGAGAGTAACTTTAGTGAGTTCACTAAGACTGTCTGGAAGCTCCGGGAGGACCCAAACCCTGATCGGGATGGATGGGAGAATATCATTCTTCAAGAGATTGATAAACAAAAGAAGAAAAGTAATGATCTGCTTGACTGGATGGGCCAGCAGGCAATTGCTATCATCCAAACATTACCTGGATCAGCTCGCGAGACAGCTGCCCAGATATTCAGGGCCGGCCTGAATTTCGTTATTGACTTTTTTAAAAAGGTTGGGGAGACATTTAAGGGTATTGTCCAATCGGTTGTGGACTTTATCAGTGGGATATGGACTAGCGTTGTCCAGGCCACAGATTCAGTGAAGCAGTGGGCACATACTGCTGTAAATGCCATTAAAGGGATCTTCTCGCAGACAAGGATGGAAACTGCAACCATTATTGGAATCACACAGATTTTGTTCGCTGCCGCTGGTTTAGCCCTGGCGGTCCGACCGGTAAGCGATGCTCCTATATGCTTCTTGGTTGCAATCTGATTAAACAGTCACAAATAGGTTAAGGAACAGTCCATACCTGCACCTCCCAGCGGCATAAACAGTAAGATCCGTTGGCTCCAGTGCACCGTAAAGAATGCCACCGAGTTTCCATTCCACTTAATGGGAACATATGATGAGTCTGGGCGTTATTACACA